TTAAGACTTATACACTAGTCAGTTGTTACCAGACTGAGGCTAGTGCCTCCAACATTCTAGGATCTAGTTGTCACTACTTTCTGCTTTCCTAGGACATGTATGCTAGTTAGTTGCTTTTGCTTTCCTAGGACATGTATGTTTTTTAGTTGTTTCTGCTTTCACTTAGGCTGTTAACTGTGACATTGCTGTTTTGTGACATTTTATATCCTAGGTTGCATCGCATGGACTCAGCATGGAGCTTGCTCCGCATCCTAGACTACTCAGGTTTTCTTTCTTTGGTAGAGTTCCGCTTCTTGGCGGAAGCATGTTTGTATCTACGCGATCCATCACAGGCCGAGGATCGTGTAGTGGACCTCGGGTTGGCCTGTGAGACCAGCCTCTTGGCTTGTTCTTTCAGGCCTGTGTTGTATTCGGGGTAGGCCAGTCCAGGCTGGTACCTCTGTCGGTACCATCCAGTCCAGTCCAGTCCCGTCAGTCCGCTGGGGTATACCCCAGCCTTTGTCTGTTTTCACCCTCATTCTTCACTTGCACATTTCTGGAGTACGTGCGTTGGAGTCTTGCGTGGGAGCTGCGCTGTGCATCATCTTTCTCCCCCCTTCTTCCTCCATCTCCATCTCTACCACTAGCGGAGCACCATACCTGGCGGGTCCGCTACAGCCGCGAGGCCGGTTCATCCCAATGTGTCGTGCCTCATATATGGCCACGACTTTCGGAAGTGCTTGGCGGTTTAAAATGAAAAATGTGAGACTTCAACCAAGGCTCATACTCCTCCGTTAGCACAAGCGTACCACCGGTATGGCCTTTCCCTCCATACCTCGGATACCGAGCACCGCCCAAACCACACCCGTAAAGAGTGGTATTCCTAAGCAGAACTACTTCCAGTAGACAGGACACAATGTTGCACGTGCATCGGCCACCGGCACTTCACGTTCACGTTCCCGTGCCGCAACTTTCAGGGCTCCGCCTCCAGAGCAAAATGGCTGCCGTCAGCCTGCCGACACCACCATTTCTTTTCTGTGGCTGGTGTCGCTGGGCCGACACTGGCCATTGTTGTCCGGTTCCTCGAAAGCCTGAAAGTTGAAGCGCGTATACGACAAGGGCCCACAGCCGATGTATGCACCACGTACTCAGTCTGGCGGGTTTAAACTTCAAACTTTAAACCACCAGCAGATGTTGTAGGCAACAAAGTTAACCTGAAAATAAAAAATCAAAATCGCCGAGTCACTCGGAGTGCAAAAAGTCGGCTGAGTCCAAAAAGTTGTGGAGGCTTGGGGCTAGCAAACCAAAGTGGCAACCAAGTTCACCAACCGTAGCCAAAATAAAAGAAAAAGCCACACAGTGGCCTTTCGGCAAAAGCGTGGCACTCAGGGTGAATCCGCGTCAGCAAAAAGAAGCTCGAATGTAGGTATTGCCTCAGTTTGGCAGACTTCTAGTACCCCGAATCTGAGAATTCGGTTGCAACGACTGCTCTTTTCATTGCTTGCACCCCAATTCGAATATTTCTCCCTCCTGAAGTTCGATGTCGAAACGGGATTCCGACAACATGTTCTCTCACAAGCTGCTTTCCTACATATTCCGAGAACAACACACACACACACACACACACACACACACCAAACAAGAAAAAAAACAAAAAAAGAAATAATAACGGCCATAAACATCCATGCGGACCCATTGAGGGGGGAGTTTTGGGCCTCCAAAACCCGTTTTAATAATAATATTATGTGAATCAAGGACGTTGATCGCCCCAACTCAGGTTCAAATGCGGACAGACAGGCATGCAATGTGTCAAGGTGTGTGGCCTACGTGTGTATGTTACGTATGTGGACGTTGTGAAGACTGGAATCAGCCAATCGACCTCAACTGGCACCAGCATACATGCAATGACACTACCTACACCAGCATACATGCAATGACACTACCTACACCAGCATACATGCAATGACACTACCTACACCCTGTCTCTTATACACATCTAGATGTGTATAAGAGACAGACCTACACCAGCATACATGCAATGACACTACCTACACCAGCATACATGCAATGACACTACCTACTACCCACACACCCATCCACATAAAACACGCACGGCAACCAAAAGGGAAGGGCACCACACCTGAAAGAGCAAAAACCGAACAAACAAACAAACGAGCATTGTCAAGCCTTCCGAAACACATGCTCCTAACAAAAACAGAGAACTAAAAATAAGAGAGAAAATCAGTTCTCCATCCCCTAGCACCACATAGAGGCATCAAACCCGGAAGCTAACGTTTTTTTGTGGAGCAGAGTCCACCAAATGAATCAGGTAGGTGCCACGTTCGCACCAATGAATCTGGTCAGTGCCACGGTGCCACATTCACACCAATGAACCTGGTCAGTGCAACCTTCACACAGCAAAGGAATATGCTTTACTCTCTCCATGATCACACAACCCCCCCGCCCCCGCCACCACCACCACAAGGACTGCAGCAAAAGACCTGTGGCCACCTTATATTTGTGTATCGTGCTCGGGTGGACGTCCTCTCATGCAGAGTTTTTTTCCTTGCAATGATGCAACCTTCTGTGGCCGACTTCACATTCTCAAGGGTTATACTCTCACTAGGACTTCCTTTATTTAAAACTTCAGGGCCCTTTTCACTTTCTTAGGGACGTAATTGCCATGGGATAAATCCATGTGCTGCTGCCAGAAATGTGGCCAACAACATTTAACATCCGGCTACGTAGCACCAGTACGCTTTAAGTACGTAAGTCGACCGACTCGACACCTCAACCCAGATGCATTACGCCAAAAGGCTAAACCCACAAGAATCCAATCCAAGCAAAACCCCCTCTGCTCCACATTCCAGGGGGTTGTTTTTCGCTTTTTTCAAGTTTTTTCCTTTTTCTTCCAGAAAGCGCATCTGCCTCGAAATATTATCGTGTACTTGTGGTTTTGTGGTTTAAGCCCATTGTAAGTTCTTCAACACACGTCGCAATATCTCCAATTCACCCTCCACGTCCTTCATAGTTTCTATTTATTTTTTTTTCCCCCTCGTTACCCAGGTTCTCCAACACAAATCTCTCATTCCCCCTCTCTCTCTCCATTGTTCCTTTTACTTTCTATTTTTCCCCCGTGCATCAGTTATACATTACCCCATCCCCATCGCCCATCCCCCATCCCCCATCTGCAGACTTATCTGTTGTGAATTCTTCTTCACCAGTCACATCTGTGTGAACTCTATTATTCCGCAGCGAGTTCTTCCTTCAACAAACTGTGACATCCCATTCATCCTGTGTTCCCTTTCTACTTTGTTTTAAAATTTTCCCTTCACAGGCATTTCCTGTTTACAATATTATTATTATTATTTCGTGTGGTTAAACAAATACGACCTGCAAAGTCTCCATTTCGACTAGATGAAAACTCAACATGCATTTTGACACATTTCGGATCAGGAGCATCAGTCGATGCCATCACTTCAAACGTATCGGGTACAGAAAGCAGCCTAATGCATGTAGAGTTGTGGAGTGGAGCAAGGCCTGTGTGTGTGTGTGTGTGTGTGTGTGTTTCCTAACCCCAAATTCTCTGTGTCTCTTTCCATCCACGAAGAAATCATCATAAAGCAGTTAAAAGCACCCGTGCAAGATACTAGAAGATGCAAGGTTGGCCACATTTGTGTGGGTGGTTCGAACATATCGGGTCCCGAAAACATCCTAATGCGTGTAGAGCGGTGTAGTGGAGCAAGGCCTATATCTGTCTGTGTGTGTGTGTTTACAAACCCCAAATTCCCTCTCTCTCATTCCATCCACGAACGAATCATAATCAAGCAGTTAAAAGCACCCCTGCAAGATACTAGAAGATGCAAGGTTGGCCACATTTGTGTGGATGAGCGCCAGGTGCCCACACACCTGTCTGCCGCCAAAGGGCCGTAGATTGTCACCACACCAACACCCTTGTTCCACCCAGAATGAGAACGCCTTACCTTTATAATCGTCTATCGAGTTATATGCAATACTTTCCTGATTGTAATGTTTTCATGAAACGGGCCCATTACACCCATTCCACTGTTTTTTTTTTGGTTCCGACAGTTAAATGTTCACCACATCTGTGTACCTCATCATGGGATCCACCCGAAAGTTAAATGTTCACCACATCTGTGTACCTCAGCATGAGATCCACCCACCATTTTCCGTTCGCTTAGCGATTCCCATTCGTATTCATTCAGCGAACCACTGGGAGGCAAGAGAGGGAGGAAGAGGAGGCGAGTGAAGGGATGTGTGTACGTGCGTGTGTGCACCCGTGTGTTCACCTGCATCTGTGTGCATGCGAGATTGTGCACACGTGTGTGGGCATGTGTATGTATGCACACCAACACGCATATCCGGAACACGTGCGTGTGTGAATGCATGTCTCTGTGAAGATTTGCATGTGCATGCAACCTGCATCCACGTGCATGTGTGTTTCTGTGCACACACACACCTTAGGGACTGTGTGTTGTCATGTGTACTATGTATGGACACCTGCATGCTTGTGGAAACACGAGCGTGTGTGAGTGCACGTCTGTGTGCGCACGCACATCCATTCGTGCATATGGACATCCCATCATATTCTCTGCGTGCCCGTGCACACGTGCATGCGTGTGTGTTGTCGACTCCACACATGTGCAACAACACTATTGCATCAGACTTCCACTGACTCGTCAGGAGGTTGTGTGTGTGTGTGAGAGGGGAAAGGAGGAAGGAGGAGAGGGGGGCGGGCATAGAGGGGTGAGAAGATGGGGCGGACGGATAGAGAGGAAAGCACGATTGCTTAATATGCAACTAAGTGTGAAGTGGCAAAGACGTGGGATGGTTGGGTTGGGTTTTTTGCTTAATATGCAACTAAGTGTGAAGTGGCAAAGACGTGGGATGGTTGGGTTGGGTTTTTCACATCGACACACCTTTGATCGTTCCCACATAATGTTTTTTTTTTTGCAGCATATTGAAAGAAGTTCACACCGTACAAGAGGAGTCTACATTCAACATTCGAGAGGCTAAACAAAACACTAGTACCTAGACTGTGTAAACGTCACAAAAAAATGTTGCTACCACACGAAACAATCAGGAAAGCAGGCAACGACAGGCAAAGTGCGCTCTTTTCCGTCTTCTTCTTCTTCTTCTTCAGCCGATCCATATGGCAAATGGACTGAGATTGTCACTAACAAAAACACAAAGTAACCTAGTAATCCAGCTCGAGATACCACAGCACTGGTAACAGTGGCAAATGGCCTGCGCCTTGTGTCAGCCCCGACTTTTGGCCATCATCCCCATCATCATGGAAATCGAAAGGCCGGGACGAAATGTTGCAACAAAACCGGAACATCCCTTCTTCAGAACCGCGTTGATTCTCCGGAACAGCTAGCTACTTTACGGGGATGTAGAACGATTCCTTCGCATCGGGAATTTAAACGGACTACTGCAGAAGCCAATGCTGCCATAAGAAACCGGCAGTCCCAACACAGCCTACATCGGCCGTGGTGATCAGTCAGGCAAATAGGCAGCAAAACTCGAGAGCGACCTGGCAAGTGCAGCCAGCCATGCATCGGCAAGCAACAATAACGGCTAACCAGCAGCAGGGGCAAGAGGGAGAAAGCAAACAGCGCAAACCAGCGCAACCCACGGGAGATGTAACAGAGCCAAGCAGGCTGCAGGTCACATCGGTCTGCATGCCAGAAAAGGCGCCTATTAAAGTGAAGCGACCAAGCGCAAAATCAAGAGCTTGAGACCGAGGACGGGGTTGTCCATGCTGTATCAAAAAAAGACATGGACGACGGTAGATCAGAGATCCCTTCAACAATAGCACGAGGATGCAATTGCTACTCGCTCGCAGCTGATGCAGCCTATGCAGAACCTCTGCTCCACTCTAATCCTCGCTAGAATGCTATTTGAGAGACGCGGCGGCACACGATATAGCAATTACGTGGACTGAGCGGGAACGCCCAACCCGTGCATAGCAACTTTGAATGAACGAGTTTCCAAATGGTAGAGGTACGACACACAAGGTGCTTTTTATTCCTACATCCTGACACCCATACACATTTGAAATTTCAAGAAAAACAGGAGGGAATGCTACGAGTAATGAAGAGGGATTTCACGCTGCTCCAAATCCGGTACTTACAGCTGGCAATGCTCAAACAAGCTCGATATCAATCTGGCCTATATATCCTCCTGTGCGTTCTCTTGCGCCCCTCCTCTTCCCACTACAACCCCCCACCCCCCCCCCCCCCCCCCCCCCCCCCCCCCCCCCCCCCCTCCCCCAATGCCCTACACTACTACCCTACTCTCGAGAAATCCATCCATACACTATTAGAACCTTCAATGACCCCAAGGGTGTACTCAACAATAGCAATTAACCTATGACGAACGCAAATTCCATCACTATAGACAAATGGTTAACAAACTGTGGAACCACCAGTACGCCAAAGCCTCGTTTCCTGACACCAAATTTTGCCACGCGCCAATTGCAGCCAAACTCAACACGGCACGTGATTTGCCTGGCTCCGCCACCCCTCTTCGTGACTTCGTCCAGTAGGCCCAACCCACCTACCCACGATTTTCGAACGCCCTAACCACCCTCTCGGAGAAAAACAGATGGGAAACGTACTGATGATTGACGCATATGAAAATGAATGAGCTAAATGGGTCCATTGAGGGCTCGTCCTCTGAATTTCACTTAGTTTATACTTATCTAGTATCTTCTGCTAATCTCCTTTGGCTTGCTGTACGATTGCCTCCACAACTGGTGGCTTGGGTTCACTCCGTTTGCAGATGGGAAACGTACTGATGATTGACGCATATGAAAATGAATGAGCTAAATGGGTCCATTGAGGGCTCGTCCTCTGAATTTCACTTAGTCTATACTTATCTAGTATCTTCTGCTAATCTCCTTTGGCTTGCTGTACGATTGCCTCCACAACTGGTGGCTTGGGTTCACTCCGTTTGCATCATTACTCACACAGACGCAATTGACATTGCGAGCAGTGAACACAAATATGGCTACCAGCCAGCCCTCTCACAGCATACTCATACGACAACGCTCTTTTTACGTAGTCCTGCACGGAATTCCGGCCAGATACGTCCAGGTACGGCCGTGAATGCGGCCACATAGTGTGAGTATTCCATCTCAGTATGTCATATGATTGCACCGACAACACGTCCCCCTTGACGCCGTCAACGCCAACCTTCTCGTCATATTCCTGCGTCTGCTTCAGTGCACATCCCCGCGCACTACAAAAAGAAAAACAACCTGCTTATCGTTCCTGCGCTGCTTCAGTGCACATCTCAGAGCACTGCAAAAAGAATCAACTTCATTTTTGGGAAACCAGCCACCAAAAGGTCATCTTGCCACACAGGCCTGTGCCATTAGCCTCTACACAATACGGGATGGTCATCCAAGTCCTCGAGATGCAATGCACAACTTCCTTGGTAGTCAAAACCCGGTATACTCATCTTCCACGATTACATTGAAGCATTCCGAAACCAGAAATCCAGAGGAAAAACATACCCACCCACCTTCATCGCCAGCAGGTGTGGCATCCATACAATTCACACCTGGCATTGCGATGGGGGGAGTGATGAGAGAGACAAGGTTCACTGCTCCTTGCAGTGGGAAGACTTGTCAACCAACCAAACTGGCGTGGTATGCCGAGCGACTTGGACCGAGCAGCAGCAGCAGCGGCAGCAGCATCAGGAGGAGGAGGTTAACGTCGGGGAAAAGACCCATCAAGCAGCAGAACATCAGCCAACTTGAGTCGATACAAACTGGTCGAGAGCTGTAGATGCAATCCACACCTGGGATAGCGGCACTGGCACAAAGTTATGCCCAGGGCATAGATGAAATTCACCGCCCGCCTTTCATTTCTTCCTCGAGAAACCATACCTGCCCATCACGTCAGGAGATGGAATGATAGCAGAAAGTTATGCCCAGGGTTAACAGATGTTATGCATGCACGATCGCATTTGGTAGTTTTCATGCAGTACTACTGACAATATAACACTTCAACCCACCACCACACAGCATGGACAACTATGACTAATATCTTCTCTCTTTGGAGCATTTCTTGCCCCTTTCGTAGCAGTTGAAGACCTGTCCCCCAGGCTCCTCTGTGATTGACCAATGAAATCTGAATCCCTAATATGTACCAAGGACTTTTTCAAGCCCGTTTTTTGTTGTCATTTCAGTCTGCCATCACGGCCTTCTGGTACAGCAGCAGACCGAGATTCCTCTGCGCTGCCTTGTGTTGCTGCTCTGCTGCCTTCTGGAACCATTCCTCCGCTTCGTCCAGGTCCTTCTCGACACCCTTGCCGTCACGGTAGCACAGCCCTAATTGGTGTTGCGCATCTGCATGACCCTGCATTGCTGCCTTCCTGTACCACGCTGCGGCTTCCGGAAGATCCTTTTCGAGCCCAATAGCTCGCTCGTAACAGCCACCCAGATTGTGTTGCGCATTGGCGCATCCCTGCTCCGCAGCCATGCGATACCACTTGGCCGCCTCAACATCATCCTTCGGTACCCCTTCGCCCTTCTCATAGCAATACCCCAACCGGTTCTGTGCCCTGGCATCATTTTGCAATGCCGCCGATCTATACAACTCAGCCGCACGCTCCACACTCTTGTCCACACCCTTTCCCTCGTAATAAAGACAACCCAGATTCCACTGCGCATTGGCATTTCCCAGTTTAGCTGCCTTTGCACACCATTCCGCAGCCTTCACCTCATCCTTGCTAATGCCCTCACCCCGTGCGTAACACACACCGAGCTGACTCTGAGCCAAGGAATCGCCTTGGGACGCTGCCTTCGACAGCCATTCAACTGCATTCTCCAGCAACGACGCATCTGCATCCACACCTTGGATGACACCTGCAAGCAGCAAACCATCACACTTCAGCAAACAAACAGGCAGATGTGCCGACTGCAAACACATAAAACAGGAAGATCATGCGCTTGGCAACCATATAAACGCTCACACGGGATGCTTTCTGCATCTGGCCAGACCAGGACTCGACACAAAGGCAACAAGAAGAGTTCAAAAGACAAAGGACTCGAGACACGCACAAGACAAAACCAAACAGAGAGACCTGCAAGCAAGTATGCGGCAGCTCATAGATGTGTCATGCCGCCGTGCAAGCGGTGCGAAAGCAGCTAGCACATGCACAGCAATACATCCGAACATGCATTTACAGAGAGAAACCACCTTGCACCGCATATAGTAGTCGTATACTCTTTGATTCGCAGATGTAAAACCACTGAGACCAACAGCCGAGTCAAACAAGGGTGGAACACCGCAAATAGCCCTTTTCAATGACAAAATCGAAGAGAGGGAAACAAAATTCGTAAATTAGTAAATTACCCTTAGCTTTGTCGTAGAGCAACAGACCGAGGTTCCGCTGAGCCCCTTTGTGTCCCTGCACAGCGCCCTTGACAAACATTTCCTCCGCCTTTGCTGCATCGGCTGGCACACCTTTGCCCTCTCTATAAAGCACTCCCAAGTTGCATTGGGAATCAGCTAGACCTTGTTCAGCAGCTTTGGAATACCAGCTCACAGCCTCCTCCTCATTCTTCTCTGCCCCACGCCCATGCTGGAGGCAGCAAGCAAGGTTATGCTGCCCATGCGCATGCCCCAGTTCTGCCGCTTTCCGGTAAATCTCGGCTGCCATATTCTCGTTCTTCTCTACTCCAACCCCTCTTTCATAACAATAGCCCAAATGAGTTTGTGCCCTCGGATCATTCTGGTCTGCAGCTTTCGTGAACCATGCAACCGCTTCCGTAACGTCATGCTCCACTCCCTTCCCCTCAAAGTAGAGGCAACCTAGATTCCACTGGGCATGCGCATTTCCCTGATCTGCCGCTTTACGGTAGCTTTCTGCAGCCTTTGATTCATCCTTCTCTACACCCTCGCCCTTGGCATAGCACACTCCCAACTTGTTCTGAGCCAAAGCATCGCCCTGTTCAGCAGCCTTTGACAGCCATTCTACAGCTTCGTTAAGACCATCCGCATTATTCTCACCTGCATGGGCAGCACGCGCAACAGCAGACATCCAGAGCAACATCAGAATCAATCACTCCACCAAAGACTGTCGCATTAATCACCCTTACTCATACCACCCTCTGCCATCTTCACCCGAACATAACGCTCGGTGGCCCCGGTCATTGCACGGATATTTTTTGGCTCCAACTTTCAGTCTCAATACGGCAATAATGACCCGGCATAGTCTCAATATGGCAATAATGACCCGGCATTTTATCCGCTGAAGACGGTAGTCACGAATTATGACACCTAGGTCATGATACCCATATTTTTTGGCCCAACTTTGGGTCCTGATGCCGCAATAATGACTGGCCATTTTGTGGGGTGACGACCGTATGCATGAATTAAGACACCTCGATACCCTGTTCACGAGAATTACTAACTACAATACAAAACAATAATAAAAAATTGGCATTCAGTCATCAGAACCGGACTTCTGGAACAGCCATCCCAAGACCGAAATCAATAGCATCTCAACTTGCCAACATTTACCTACCTTTGCAGTGAACTGCCACCAACAATTGGGCAGCAACCACGATCACAACATCTAACATAAATGGAGCGGCTTACGGGGTATTGGCCCATGCTTTCAAGCACAATCCCAATGGCCTGCAGTGGAGACGTTGACCACATAGTGGTCCCCACAAACCTTTGTGTAGGCACTGGCTGCAACTACCGCAGAAAGGAACTATGCAACTACCGCAGAAAGGAACTAAATGGGAGCTTTGGCTATCAAGGGTATCAGCGCAGACGCAATCTGTTCTACGTTCTAACAGTGAGTTGAGCGAGGGGTCGAACAATCAACACCATCTACGCTCCAATTTAAACCCCACCAGTAGCTTGCCCGGAAAAACTTGCCAATCAAAAATGCAACATTCCCAGTCCTTCGGGTCAGACGAAAACCGTTTCCAAAAGAGAGAGAAAGTGCCTCCGCGACTATTCTTTTTTTTTTTTTTTTTTTACGCACAGCAGCACACGGTGAATCCACCGTGGCAAAAAGAGGCTCAGAGGTACTGCTTGTTTAGTACCCCATGGGTCTGACAGACCGTTTTGCTATCATCTAGGTGGTGAGCAATCAAACAGTCAGCAGCTGGCTTCCGCTTCATCTTTTCCCCCCGAATTTCCATGGCACCATATTTTTACTTCTTTTTACTTCCCGATTTACGTGTCGTCCTTGAACAGGCATCATGCTACGCTTCTCTGTATCATTCCGATTTCATCAGACGTCCGTAAGAACACACCATGTCACCATTTCTTGTCCAAAAGAGGCACCGGATAGACTCCTACTGAAACGGTATTCCATTGCAATCGGTGACAGCTGCTTCTGGTACGCTGATACCTTCAGCTCGCTCTCTTTGATAGACAAAAAAGCCTGCATCCTAATGGCCAAACACCCACAAAAAGCGCATAATATACCAAAAGGATGATAGCAAAGCGAAAGGAACAAGGGGGCAAACGGAAGCCGACACCTGCTGGACCTTCCATACAAAGGTGTTGTTTAGGGTTCATGTGCATGAAATGACTGCGCACCGTTTGATCCACTGCTGATGCCCAATTGCAAGCTACAACAGGGATGTCCATCCCCCGACCTGAATTGGCAAGACAAGCAGTTCGACATGCAATGCACACACATGCCCAGTTTTTCTGAATCATTGAAAATTTTCCAGGACGTGGTTCCAAAAGTGCATGTATTTTTTTTCGGGGCGCCAGGGGGGGCGAGGAGTTATATTTCTTACCCTTCGCTTTGTCGTGCAGCAGGAATCCCAGGTTCCGTTGGGCTCCACAAACTCCCTTCAACGCCGCTTTTCGGAACCATTCCTCCGCCTTCTCGAGGTCTTTCCCAACACCAAGACCATCTCGATAACACGTCCCCAGATTGCTCTGGGAGTTCGGGAAGCCATGAGTAGCAGCCTTTGTGTACCATTTCACAGCCTCCGAGTAATCCTGGGGAACACCGATTCCACGCTCGTAACACCAACCCATGTTATGCTCAGCCTGCACGTATCCCTGGTCGGCCGATTGGCGATACCACTTAACCGCCTGCAGGTCATCCTTCTCAATACCAGCACCCCTCTCATAACAGAATCCAAGGTGGGCTTGTGCTCTCGCATCACCCTGGTCAGCTGCTTTCCTGTACCATTTGACACCTTCTCCCTCGTTCTTTGACACGCCGATTCCATGGAAGTAAAGGTACCCCAAATTACACTGTGCATCTGGGTTTCCCTGATTTGCTGCTTTACGGTAACAATCAGCCGCCGCAACATCATCTTTAGCAATCCCCTCCGCTCTTGCGTAGCATGTCCCAAGCCGGTTGAGTGCGAGTGCATCGCCCTGAGCAGCTGCTTTCTGGAGCCATTCGACTGCCTGTGCCATAACTGCTTCATCACCTGAATCTGGGCACATAACATTGGCAAATTTATTGCCTTCAAAAATTTCACAATCAAGCACAGCAGCAAATCACCCACAAAGGAACAAAAAGTCATTCAAGGATCTTCTCTCCCAAATGAAACACCCCTAGAGGCATCAGCAAACAGACCATTGTCCGAAAATTGTCTGCAGGCCAGTGCAGGATAGATCGACATCACTCCATCTGCCAGTACCATGTCAATCAACACTTCAATGAAGCTATAGTATACACTTCCTTTTGCTAACAACCCAACGCCGCCAAGCAGGTGGCCAACAAGGGGGCGGGGGAGGCATATCTTGTTGCAATCATTAAATTAAAGGGGCAGACAATGAAGCACAACCCAACGCCGCCAAGCAGGTGGCCGACAAGGTGGCGGGGGAGGCATATCTTGTTGCAATCATTAAATTAAAGGGGCAGACAACGAAGCACAAGCGCAGAGCAGGGTTTGAAGGGGGGATTGCTAAGCGTTGTTTACTCATACTAGTCTTCATACCGTTTTGCAAGCCGTACTATACGCAGGTTAATGCATGCAGGTTCTCGGAATTACATTCACTTATCATGAAGAGGTCTGCCAGAAAAAGGGAAAAAAAAATATTTACACTTGGCAATGCTCGTATAAAAAGAGAGCTGGGAAGACCAGGATTATCCGTTGATTGAATTTTGGTACTCCCTGCACAGAGTAGAGGGGAGGCTAGACTAAAGAGGGCGTGTATAGAAACTTCCGGAACCGACCAAAGAACACCCTTGCTAGGTAGAGAGAGAAACATTGACACAAGAGTATAGCTTAGTAGTTAAGAAAGGGGGAGAGGGGGGGGAGGAGGGGAGGAAGGGGGGGAACAATCTATTTGGGACAGTGCGGCGCTGAATAGTTTTGCTTCTTAGAAAATTCGCACCTCGAGCAATCACAGCTGTGAGCACATTCCAGACGGTTTTCTGCCCCAAAACGTTAGCTCCTACACCGATCTCCACTGTTCCCGCTGCCATCCTCACATCACACATCACCATTACATCCTCGACCATACTGGTAACCCCTCCTCACCGATGCTGACATCGCACGTCGAGTGTCAACTAGCTTAGACTATTTTTGCATCAACAACAATTAACCCTAGGTTGGAGGATCACTCTTTTGTGTGTTCTCTGTATGGGAATCCTAAAATACTGCATTGCCACATACGACAACGACAATACATCTGAACTTCCAGAAGGCTCACGGCCAAAATTAAAATTTTTTCCATCGCTAGAGGCCCAAGCAGCTCAACTTCCGCTTTGCTTTTCTTTTCTTTTTTTTCTTAATTTGGACCATTTCTCGATTCATTTGTGTCATCCCTGCACAGCGACAATTCTACTCTTCATTCTCTGTATCACTCCAAATTTAATGGATGTTATGAAAGGCACTCACCTTTTGCTTTCTCATAGAGCAGGAAGGCCAGATTTCTTTGCCCTCCTTTCAGACCCTGCTCAGCAGCCTGGTGGAACCATTCCTCGGCCTGCACAAGGTCCTTTTCGACGCCCCGTCCATCACGATAGCACATGCCCAAATTGCTTTGTGAATCTGCAAACCCGAGTTCTGCTGCCTTTTTATACATCTCTGCAGCCGTCGCATAATTTTGTTCAACGCCAATCCCCTTCTCGTAGCACCATCCCATATTATGGAGAGCCTGAGCATACCCATGATCCGCCGCTTTCTTGTACCACTCGATCGCTTCCTTGTCGTCCTTGACAACCCCGAAGCCCTTCTCGTAGCAAAAGCCGAGATGCGTTTGTGCTCTAGCATGCCCCTGCGCCGCTGCAAGCCTGTACCATTTCACCCCCTCAGCCTCATCCTTAGGAACCCCCGTCCCATGGAAATAGGCGTACCCGAGATTGCATTGGGCATCTGCGTTACCCTGCTCAGCCGATTTCTGATACCAGCTTGCCCCCACAGATTCGTCCCTCCTATCCACACCCTCAGATTTGGCGTAACACACTCCCAGTTGGTTTTGAGCCAAAGCATCGCCCTGTTCTGCAGCCTTCACCAGCCAATTGACAGCCTGCTGCAGGCCACTCTCATCGCCGCTGCTCTTCGCCTTCTCATATAGCAAGAAGCCCAAATTCCGTTGCGCACCCTTCAGACCCTGTTCAGCCGCGCGTCTGAACCATTCCTCGGCCTGCTCCAATTCCTTGTCCACTCCCAGACCATCCCGATAACACATTCCGAGGTTGCTCTGTGAGTCGGCAAACCCTTGCTTGGCTGCTTTCACATACCATTTCACCGCCTCCTGGTAGTTGACCTCCACTCCTGTGCCCCTTTCGTAACACAACCCCATATTGTGTTCAGCCTGGACAAAGCCCTGCTCTGCAGCCTTCAGGTACCAGCTGACTGCCAGGTTGTCATCCTTCTCCACACCAGCCCCCTTCTCAAAGCAGTAGCCAAGATGGGTCTGCGCGCGCGCATTGCCTTGGGCTGCAGATTCCATGTACCATTTCACGGCTTCCTTCTCATCTTTTGGCACACCCCGTCCGTGGAAATAGAGGTATCCAAGGTTGCATTGCGTTTCTGCATTTCCTTGGAGTGCAGCTTTCCTATACCATTCGGCCGCTTGCATTTCATCCTTCTCAACACCTTCTCCATGGGCATAGCACGCACCCAACTTGTTCTGTGCCAACGCATCTCCCTGGTCCGCAGCCTTCCTGAGCCATTCGATGGCTTCCTTGATGAGCTCTTCATCCTCTGAAGCAACTCACACCCACACCCACACACACACACACACAAAAAAAAAAAAAAAAAAAAAAAAAAAAAAAACAGAAAAAGAAGGAAAAACAATCGAAGTAGTGCATCAGTACGGTTTCGGTATACCGACATGTCGATGGCCAGTTGAGTTGAGCTTGGCTTCGAACACAGGCATGCAAAATGCACAGTAGGACAAGAATGTGATTGCGAGCTCTAACATCTGCAGTTCTACAAGATAGCCAGTCCTAATATCTCACATTGAATTTCTAGTATTTTCTACAATTGCCATTAACCATGACTATTGGAGTAATAATACTGCTTTACGTTTGCCCTTACCAAGTTAGCCAGAAAAAAAAAAGAAAGGACACACCTTATAGCATACACACATCCTGCTACGCATCATTCATGCACATCACCATCTGCAAGTCCAAGTGCATCTCCTTAGGGGCAATCATGGACAAAGTTCTGATTTCTGACAGCCACGGGATTCGTGACACACATACGTGCCTCACTCCACTACCTTCCGCTACAACATGAGAAAACACCGACTTATTTTTTGTCTGTTGTGCATGTGGCGAGTAGCAGAGCGCGGCCCATTGTGTCCACGAAAAAGGACTAGCATCCTTGTCCAGGCGTAGGCCCTCGGCCTGTCATCGGTACCCACAATCATCTCTCCCTTGTACACACAAGGACTAGGCCTAGCTGAGCCTTGCTTTGCGCTTCGACAAGAACATGACCAGGTTCACGACAACATTCATGCTTTTTGGGTACACGTACAGCTGTCTGTGCGAGGCCTTCATTCACACGAGGACACGAAAATCCTCAGCCAACAGTTGGCAGCAGTGCACACACCACGTGACAGGTTCAGTTAGGAGCCACATGACAGCGCCACAAGTTGGTGAGCAAAGCTGCGTGGGGCATTCAGTATGATGGGAGGCGGGATCAAGCCTCCAGTCCGCACTCAGCAACGAAAGCAAATACGTAACGGTGTGAACACAATATATTCGAGAGTTACAAGGGCAAGAAAAAGTGAAAACAGAGGAAATTCAAGCTCATGCCACAGAGGAAACAGCCCATTTTGCTCCGAGTCAAGAAATGACAGGAATAGTGCCGGAGAAAAAACTTGTGAACGCCCAACAAGTACAAAGTCAGCAGATCAAATCTACCACGTTGCCTCTCACAAAGTCACAGCAAGCACACCAAAAAACAACATACCTTCGACACCACTACACTGTGAAAACACAAAGTCTAACCCACAAAGGGTCAGTGTGGACACGTGTGACGAGGATAGAAACAGCTCCGCACCATGGTTCACACAGTACCCCGCACCTTATGTATGCATCTCCTCCCTCCCCTCCCACAAAGGATATCCACCTTCATGCCAGGCATCTCCTGTCCACATATGTGCCCCTTCTATTGATCATAGTCATCTTCCCAGTGTTTCGCAATAGTGGTGCCCTTGATACAAGCACTCTATCCCAAGCACAGTGAGGTCCATGATACGAGCTTCACTCATTCTGAAGCCCTTCAGATACCCACAGGCGTATGTGGGCCCCATATTTCTCAAACTTCCAAACCCACACAACCATGCATTCACACTTCCAGACACGACCATACTTCCATACTTCCAGACTTCCAGACTTCCAAATGTATGTGACCATCCTTCCACGCATTATGGTTCAGAAATTCCAAACACACTTTTAATTAGACAAACTTCTGAAATTGTAGTACTATAGTAACTATACAGCATTTTTTTCTTTTTCTTCTTTTTTTCAAGGCTCGCTAACGACTTACAAAATTCAAAATCGTGTTATTTCATTCATCCAGTTTCATTGGGATTCGAACTCAGGTCTGTATTTCGACAGTTTATGCACCAACTGCACTACGACCGTTGGTGATATACAGCATTAAATTTTATATCACACAAACAAAACCTTGGAATTCGTATCATGTTAATTTAACAAGACATGCTTGCCGGTCTATTCTGATGAGAGATGGCGATCATCACAAGTCTGACAAATCAAGCAAAGATGCTTATTAGCTGTGATCGCCACGGCTCAGAAGTAAGTGAACAATCACAAATACGTTCTCAATAACAAGAATCACGGCTTGTCACAGTTGCCGGCCTATGCTTCTGTCACCTACGTCTTCCGAGTTTGATTTGTTTTTTTTTTTCACAAACAAAACAGGCTCTTACGGCGGTACCTACCTTTTCCTTTTTCGAATAGCAAGAAGCCCAAGTTCCGCTGACCTCCCTTGAACCCCTTATCAGCTGCTTTCCGGAACCATTCTTCTGCTATAGCGAGGTCCTTCTCCACGCCTTGGCCATCACGATAGCACATTCCAAGATTCGTCTGCGATCCCGCAAAACCTTGCTCAGCCGCCATTTTGTACCATTTCACAGCATTTGCATAGTCCTGCGCAACGCCGATTCCTTTGCCATAGCACCATCCCATATTGTGTTGCGCTGGAGCATATCCTTGCGCTGCGGCCTTCTCATACCATCTGACGGCTTCCTCCTCATCTTTTGGCAGCCCTGCTCCTCCCTCGTAGCAGAAGCCGAGATTCGTCTGCGCCCTTGCATAGCCCTTATCTGCCGCCATTCTATACCATTTGACCGCTTCCACCTCGTCCTTTTCAACCCCCCTGCCATGGAAATAAAGGTATCCAAGATTGAACTGACCATCTGCACTGCCTTGCTCTGCAGCTCGGCGATACCACTCTGCTCGTCACAATTGCAACACGAGGCGAGAAGTCAGGCCCAAGACAACAATCTCTTATTACATTAATTGATTATTAGTAATTTATTACATACCCCCCCCCAAAAAAAAAGAAAATTCATGCGTACAAGTCGCACGCTGCGGTTCATGCGTACAAGTCGCACGCTGCGGTCCACGGCCACAGCCAACAGCCGTGAGCAAGGAGACCCCTGATTCTCCAGCTCGCTGTGTTCACCGGGAAGCGGGCCCCATTTCCCATGGGTAAACACACAAACAGGCCCAGGTCACTGAGGTCAGTTGGTACACCTACAAACTGCTGAAATGCAGACCCGAGTTTGGATCCAGGTGGAACTACTTTAAGAACGAAATTATTCCCGAATTACCTGGGGCAGGTCGTCATCCTTTTTGTTTAATTAACCAAAAAGGAAAGACAAAACAATATATCGCCATGTGGCCGGTTGTACACTAGACAGCTGTGAGCTCGAATGCCACTTAGAACTCACTTAGGGCCTCTGTCCAGTACACAGCATACCAAATGAGCCCAAAACAACAATTGAAAAACGACCCACAGGAAAAGGATCTCCCTGGGGAGCGGTAGAGGCCAGTTGGCCCCCGAGAACGCCAGAGTTTTCGATGTAAGCCTTCAGCACTGGACCCGTTTGCAATAAAATCTGCAGCCAACCAAAAAAAAAAAAAAAAAAACACATCATGCTGTCCACGTGATTTCTGTTACATGCTCCTGCTTCTGATCGTGGACCAGAGATTGCTACTATAAAATCATCTGCAAAGCGGATGGAATGCATCTTTCGGTTCCAATGCATGGGATTTAGACGCAAACTTGAAGTGTCTGCTCTTCAAGCCCTGTTATATTCACGGATGCCTTGTTATATTAATACATTCACGGATAGTCCTTTCTAGAAAGTGGTCTATATTTGATAGTAGGGGACGTCAGACTCGTTAAAATCCAAGGCATAAGAAAAAAAAATCGAAAAAAGTCATCCCACTGTGGACGTGATTTATGTAGAGAGCCAGAGGCAGGATTTCTAGACATATGACATGCACCTTCGGCACTTGCGCATGCGGTGTTCCTACGGGACTCCATTCCATCCTTCCACTTTCGTAATTTCCCCCGGCACACCTCTACTCCCACGATCCTACATTAACGACTTCCACTAAAGACCATCACCTTACGGTCTTGTCTTTTCAGACGGGGGTGACCTAATCGGACAGTGGTTGTTCAGTGAGCAGTGAGCAGGACTAAGCAGAGCCCTACTTAGTACTTACTCTACCCAATCCTGATCGAGCCACAGTCATACGAGCCTTGCCACGCTAGGTGTAATCATATCTCTACAGATCCCATAGGCACGTTGTTCACTAACTACATTGTCTTTATTATTGCGGTTCTGTTAAGTGATGGTAGAGAGAGCTGGGGATCCTCCGTTCCCTTGTATATCCCTGGAGCCTGTTCCGGCCCGCGGTAAGGTGCAGTACCTCCTGACACCCCCAACATCCCGTATTAAGGACCGCTATACCAGCCTCAACCCTATACTACGTACTAGAAGGATAGCCAACCCTGAATCATGATACATCCCTTTCCTCATGTTCCCGCTCACCGGACGGCTATGTACTTTGTATTCGAACATCTGCGAGAGCCCACGCCTGGCAAAACTGAGCACTGTGCAAAATCGGCCCTTCGCTGTGGGCAGATCCGGAACACCCCCTCCTGCGGGGGCCTGAAGTCGGGATACCGAGCAGCTGGGGAAACTGAGCACTGTGCAAAATCGGCCCTTCGCTGTCGACAGATCCGGACGCCCCTGCAAGAGCCTCAATTCCGGATACTGAGCGGCATGCAAAATCGGAATCAGCCCTTCGCCCTGGGCGGATTCGAGCCCCCTCCCTCAAATGAAAGACCCTTAACTTTTGACTTAGAAAAAGACAAAACTGCAGTTTAACTGCCAGCCAGAGGAATCCAGACCCCGAGGGCCCGTGGGTCTGAAATAATGCGACCATTCAAAAACGACATGGCGAAGGAAAAATATGCCACTCTGGACGCGATTTTGATTAGATGCATTAGGACCCACCAATAAAAAAAACGTGATTGCTGTTAGATGCATTACCAGCAGCATTAGGACCCACCAACAAAAAACAAAAACCGCTCTCGTTGGGTTTGAACCTCCTCTCTCTCTGAAGGAAAAAAAACAACTGCCAGCCAGATAAATCCGGACACCGTGAATATATATATATCCGGACACCGTGAGTCTGAAAGGTCGCGACCATTCAAAAACGACCCGGCAAAGAAAAAACATCCCGCTCTGCACGTGATTGCTGTTAGATGCATTACGAATTTACGACCCACCAACAAAAAGAAAAATCCCGCTATAGGTGGATTTGAACCCCCTCTCTCTCTCGAATGACAGACGGTATAACTTGATGAAAAACCAACTGCCAGGCAGAGGAATCGAGACACCGTGAGTCTGAAAGGACGCAACAGTTCAAAAACGACCCAGCGAAGGAAAAAACATCCCGCTCTGGACGCGATTGCTGCTAGTTGCATTGGGACCCGCCCAAAACGAAAAAATCCCACCCTGCCATTACATGCATTATGACCCTAGATGCATATTTTCTCATGGCCACCCCCAAAAAGAAAATCACGCTCTGGACGTGATTCCTCTTCGATGCATTTTCTAATGGCACACTGGCCGAATCGCGATGTTCTTGTATTCGAACATCTGAAGGGCCTACTATCCCGGCGGCATGCAAGCCAAAACGCCGTTTCGCCCTGCACAGATTCCAGCCCCCTCTCTCTCAAACGAAAGAACTCGAAACATCTAAAATGGTTTCAAAATACCTTTCTCGGCCTTTTGGCTAAGATCAAGTGTAGTTTCTGTTCTGATCAGTTTAATATCTGATCCGTGGTCCATAGGGCCACACGATATTAAATTAATTTTTCTGGGCCACGGAGGGGTCGTACGAGTAAGCTTGCTTACTCGACCCCTCCAGTGTCGCCTCTGTATTGCACTGCAGCAGAGTGTGGCGCAGCCCTCCCCCTCGGGGGAACAATTCAACTACAAAGAGGAGCCATGAATCAGATTGGGTGTATGCGGAAGCAAATGCCAATGTTGCTGTTTTGATAACGGGGGAAAAGTGAGGGCTAAGACGTAACCTCTTATGAGCTAAAAAAAAAAAAACGGAGGCCAAAAGACGCTTGAACTTTTTTTTATCTTGTTTTCTTGTCTTTATT